ATAAAAAAGCAGAAAGAGTTAATTTAGTTTTCCTTAGGCAGCAAACACGGATTTACAGTGAGACTTCTGAAGATAAATGTAGATGCCCCTGATGTCCTATTGGTACGCGTTAGGCTCAACTTGCATTTTGGAGCTGTACAATCAGCACTGCTGAATGTGAAGATGTAGAAGAGGAATATGCATAGCTGAAAGTGTGGTGTATCTGCAAGGACAAATGCTACAAGCAACCGACTCATCAAGGCGACATTTTATAATGAACATGCTCAGTAGTTAGGGAAATGAATGCCAGATGTTCTCAACTCAAGACTACTCCAGGCACGATGACCCAGAAAGCCCATATGGTAGCAAAGACAAAAGCTTAATTGGCTAGATCACCTTTCTTTGCGCAATTCCCCACTCCTAGAAGGAAGGAGGTTAAGTGCAACACCTCCTTCAGAAGTGTGACTTTCAAAAATGCAGCAAGTTAATAATGGCTGTTTGGGGATGGGAGAATTTAAGGACACAGCCATGTTTGTCTTTCCACGGTGGGTGCATATGTCTCCTGTAACAACTATTCTCTGACTTTATATTCTTAGACATAAATTAGCTCCTGTGGAGAGCAGCTCATAGTCTCATTTTAGAAAATAGTCAGAGGTTAATATATTGCTGCAAATACTCAAATATCATTGATAAAGATTGGTGAAGTGATGTTTAAAGACTGCTGAGCTCTTTTTTGTCTTGGTTTGGTTTGGTTTTAGAGACATGCTTTCTCTGTGTGGCCCTGGCTGTCCTGGAACTCACTCTGTAGAGAAGGCTGGCCTGAAACTCACAGAGATCTGCCTGCCTCTGCCTCCTGAGTGCTGGAATTAAGTGTGTGCCACCACCACCCAGTTGGCTGCTGACCGAACTCTTTAAATCTGGAAATACCATAAAAATGATTATTCTCTGTAAAGTTAAACCTGATTACTAGCAATGGACCTTTTCAATCTTACTTCATTTAAAAAAGAATGAGTTAACCAAGATTTTGTGCCCCAGGAACTCTCTCTTCCTGGTGTAATGAGGTTCTTAATGACAGAAACTTTGTGTTAATTTTTTTATTTTTTATTTTTGAGACAGGGTTTCTCTGTGTGGCCTTGGCTGTCCTAGACTCACTTTGTAGACTAGGCTAGCCTCAAATTCACAGAGATCCACCTGCCTCTGCCTTCCCAAGTACTGGGATTACAGACATGCACTACTGCACCCTGCTGCGTTAATTTTTAAAAATTATTTGTCTAACATTTGTAGGGTTCAGTCTGCATGTATGTCTGTGTACCGTGTGTATGCCTGGCACACAAGGATGCCAAAAGAAGGCAGCAGACCCCCTGGGACTTGAGTTACAGATGGTTGTGACCACTCGTTCTAGGTGCTAGAAACTGAACTACAATTCTCTGGAAGAAAATCCAGAGTTATCAAGCACTGAGCTATCTCACTACATCTATTTTAAAAGATTAATAATTAGTTCTATTTATAGAGTGATAAAGTTTATTAGCTTTTATCATTAATGCATGAATAATTTCATGCAGGTATATAATAAACTTTTGTCATCTCTCCATACATACTCTTTCTCCCTCACTAATTCTCTCTCTCCCACTGATGCATTTCTTCCAGTGAGGCTCCCTCATACTTTCACTTTCTTGTCCCCAACACCTGTGTGTGTGTGTGTGTGTGTGTGTGTGTGTGTGTGTTCGTTCTACTGAGTTTAATTAAAGTTGCTTTCTTGAGCATAAGTCTGGATTTATTTCATGGAACACAGGCAATGAATCAGTTGCTAACCATTGCAGAGAATGACACCTCTCTCCCCCAGTGACCACTACCTTCATGCAATCCCTCAGCAGCTGTGGAGGGAGCCCCATGAAGGCCTCCCACACACATGAAGAAATGGTGTTGGGTTTGGGTGCAGCTCTTGTACAGGTAACCATGCCTGCAGTGGGTTCATTTGCAGTTGGTTGTGATTAATGCAGAGACTCAAAGCTGATCAAAATGAAGAAAATAAGTAATTTTGGAATTCTGGGTCTGAAATGAGATATCTCAAAGCATCTATATCACCCGTTCTAAGGCTTGGGGAACAGTGAAGAGGGGCACAAAGGGTGTAAGAGTTGGAGGTAGGGAAGAGGGCAGTGGGAGTGTTGTTCTGGATGGACATGACCCTTACACCAATGACAGAGAGATTCTGCCTGCAGTGGAGTGGAAACTGAACCTTTTGCTTTTGAATGCGCAAACTGCTGACAATGGAGACCAAGATCCCCCGTGGAGTCTAATTTTGCTTGATTATTTCCCAGTTTGGTGCTACAGCTGTGAGAAGCTTTAGAACACTAAAAATCACCCCTGTGCTGAAAGATTAATTTGTCCATTTTACATTTTGCTTGAACAAAAATAATTGCTAAGAATTTTTAAGCCTCTGACGCTTTACATTAACTTCACAACGATATAAATTATGCCATTAATTTGTGTCTCAATATTGAGTTTGGATGCAATCAGTTTCTATTACTATGTAGTCTTGGTTTTATGTATTTTCTAGCTTTGGTTTTTGAAAGTCAGTATTAGCTGAGTGTCCAAAGGAAAGGAAGTGGAGTAAAGAAGTCCATTTTATTATTTTTTAATTAATTAATTAATTTTGAGGCAACATCTCATTATGTATCCTAGTCTGGTGAAACTCATGATCCTCTTGTCTCTTCCTCTTGAGTGATATCATTAGAGGTGTGTGCCACTTTGGCTAGCTAAAATTTTCTTAATAGCACTTTTTTTAAAAAAAAAATTTTAGATGAGGCTTTACAAAGTAATTTGTTGCCATACTCAGATAGATTTGGTTTGTTTTCAGTTTTTCTGTTTACGTTATAAAACTCAGCAACACGAATTTCATTGTAAGGAAACATTAAAAAACATAACCCCATTCACCCAGGAAATTGATATTTCATATCTTTCCTTGTTAAGCCTCAGTCCCCCCTTATCTACAGGAAGAGTTTAGGCTCAATTAATGTATTCTGTGAATGTTAGCACCAGTTAATAAATCATCACAGCTTTGAAAAGCCTTTATATATATCACTGTAACAATTCACACACCTATTTGCATCATGGTTCCTCACTGGGAGAAGCATTTTGAGGTCCGTTAAATCCACTGCTGCATAAAACTGTGATTACTCTGTGTCCTAATTAAATTGGTCACACCTCTCTGTCTCGCATCTTGTTTATAAAGATTAGTTTCAGATAGGGTGTATGGGCACTGTTCAATTTGTGCCGTTCAGTACTTCGTATCATGTTTCTTATGATTATATGAGTTATTATTTATGGCATAGCATATCCTGTCGGTGGCAGGAAATGGGAAATGACTATTCAGTGAAAAGACAGTAAGTTTTGTCTTTGAGAGATGGCTTCATCTGGAACGGTAACAGGAACTGCGTGCCTGTTACTATAGGCGTCGAGAGAGCCTCCCTGCTGTTTACCCTTCGGATGGAAAATGGCAGTTTGACATAAACCAACACTGTGAAGCTTGGTGTGGGGCATGCCCAGAGCAGGGAGTGCAGCCTCCCTCCCCTGTCAGCCCCCTCCAGATCTATAAAGATAAGACCTGAACTTTACACTTGGAAATATCAGGGCATAGTTTGGGGGTTTTGTTTGCTTGTTTACTTTTCTTTTTCTCCTAAATGTCCTTTTGAAACTAATTTCCTTTAAGAAGCCAACGCAGGGAAGAGAATACTTAGGGTAATCCAATGCATTAAGTTTAAACAAGTTGACACCAATCCCTGCACTTGGACTTCTTTTTAAAGCAATAGAAATTATTAGTCTGTGTGGTGTGTGTGTGTGTGTGTGTGTGTGTGTGTGTGTGTGTGTGTGTGTGTGT